CATATGAGATGTGGCATTTTTTAAAATTTCTCTAGTTTTTAACTATTTTTTTGTTCTACAATTCGATATAATATCTTTTGTTGTTGTTGAAAGTATATATAATTTGAGATGGAAAAAAATATATTTTGTAATATGACAATTTAGAAATATTACGTTTTTTGCTAGGACATTTTTTTTTTGTTATTTGTTCAGTAATCTTTGTTTAGAATATATATTTTATATTTTAATTTTTTAGACTTTTGTTAATATTGATTTATGTCACGATCTAAATTACCAATTATATGTATCGTAATCTGTGAATTAGAATTTTACTTAAGTGTCGTATTCTCGGTCGTGCGCATCCTGTCTTGTATAATAAGATAGATCAAAATCTTCTTAGACGCATGTATATGACCGTGACCGTGACTGTGACTGTGACTCAGGCGACTCATTGCTTTCATGGGCCCAATGCAGAAATTAATTTTATTTTATTTTTCAATTTAAAGGCCTTTTTACAAAATTACAGAAATTTAGGGCTTTTTTGCAACATTTTTTCAAAATTTGAGAACTTTTTTGCAAACGAAAATCAATCAAAATTGTGGAAGATGCTGTGCAAATGCCTTATCGGCACGCGGGCCTGCTGTGACTGTGACTGTGTCAGTGAGAATGGAATCAGTCACTCATGAACCATGCATGATGCACCAAATTTGTATGCATAGGTATTCTCGGTCTTTAGTCTTTTAAAGCTTAAGGACATAATAATTAGCTCGTCATTCTCTTTGCAGGTTGCTTTGAACAAGGCGATTAGAAGATGCAGAAGATCTGTGAAACTGAAATCTCGATGGACGACTTAGTCAAGAAGCTGCCATAAACATGAAGAAATCATTCCTCATGATCGGTGGTTTATGGTTAGTTTCCACAATTCCATTGGTCTCATTTGATCTGCACTAATCAAAAACCTTATTCGTTTCTTTCAAGCCCTCTTGGACCGAATACTCGTAAGATACTGCAAGCCAGCCTTGCAATGTTGGATTTGGTTATATTATATGTTTGGTTTTTTAACCAACCAGACAGATAATGATTTCACCATATCATGTGTAGTAGCAGTTGTGCAAGACTCAAACCATTTAAAACAAAGTTTTATTTTATTTTTATTCAACAGTTGACATCTTTTCTTTTTTATTGATTGAAATTTAATGTTTAATTTTATTACAATCGACAACTACCAAGTATTACTTGGTCAGGATACTCCTTTGCATTCCCTTTAGGATTCTCTTCAAACCTCCGCAGACTAAAATGCTTCATCTCAACTCCTCCTCCGGTCTCTCCCTCCGTCGCCAGCTCGGCGAGTATCCTCCCCACCGCCGGCGCCATCTTAAACCCATGACCGGAGAAACCGCCACCGACCACCACATCTCTCCCTAACTCCCCGCCGAGAAAATCAATGACGAAATCCTCGTCGGGCGTCATTGAATACATACAAAGCTGAGTGGCCACAGGTCCTTCTGAATCAACCATCCCTCCAAATCTTTCCTTAATCCACTCTTTAAGCTCCTCTAGCTTCACTCCCGTACCCCAAGGCCTCTTATCCGGGTCGCAATGATAACCACCGTGTACCCCGACTTTGATCAACCCCGGATACTCGAGTGACGGAGTTCCGTACACATACGGAGCTCCGTAAGACGCAAAAGTCGGGAACTCTCCCTCGATTGCAAATTTATCCTCGTGACCTTCTTTGATTCTCCAATAACATACCGTCGTCTCAAGCGGCTCCACCGGAAAATCAATCCCGGCCACCGTTTTCACCAGCTTACCTATCCATGCACCCGCGGTTACAATGCATTTTTTACCGCGGAATCTCTCTCCTTTAACCGTACAAACCATTATCCCTTCACCGTCTCTCTTTATGTTTGCCACCTTGGTGTTGTCTCTCAAAACGGCGCCGTGTCGAAACGCCAGCGTCTGGAACATGGAGACGGCCTTGGTGGGTTTGATAACTCCACCAAGATCCGTCGAGACTCCGATCCAGTTCTCCGGGATACTAATCCTCCCGGAGAAATATTTGGAGACGGCTCGTGAGTCCATAACACGGTGAACTAGGCCATGTTTGCGACACGTAGCGATAACGGAGAGGAGGCTCTGCTGATCTGCTGGACCCATGTCGAATTGTTGGGTTGGGAAATGGACTTTGTATCCGATCTCGGACTGAGCCTGAGCCCATAACCGAGTGGACTCGGAGACCATGGCGTAGTAGTAATCCTCTGGGTAAGTGGCGCGTATGGTGCGTGACTCGCCGTGTGAAGAGCCACGGTGGTGGAGGAAGTCAAACTGCTCTAAGAGGAGAGTCTTGTGGCCTCCTTTGGCCAGATGATACGCGGCGGAGCTTCCCATTACTCCTGCTCCCACGACAATCACGTCGAATCGGCCGTCGCCGGAATATTCCATGACGATAGAAAATGGAATCTATATTAGAGAAAACAAAGAAAGAAGAAGGTTGATGTCAGAGAAGTGAATGATTGTTGTTAGCACTGCTCTTTTAAAGCAGATTGTGTTTGACAAAAGGACAAAACTCAAAAGTATAATCACGACACTACCCTTCGCTTGTGTCACATTTTCTTACTTCGTGTCACATTCTTCTTACTTCGTTGAACATTCAAATCACCATCGTAAATAACGTCATAAAGTAGTTTAACAAAAACTAAATTTAGTTATATAAATATATATGTCAAGTACATACAACTTTTGGGAGTCGATTTTAAAAATTTATATGGTTTCTCCGTGGTATTCGAATTTGTAAGTTTAAATAGTGAACGAATTTGTACTAAATGTAACAATATTACGTTCACAACAAATGAAATTGCCACGATCCATGGATTTTCCATCTTTGATCAGCTAATAAAAATATTTAACCACAGTTCTAGACTTCTAGCTTATTCAACAAATATACCTATAAATATAGT